TACACAGTTGAGGCGTTATCCTCACGCCCAACCCCCAACCCTGAGGATCAGGGACTACACTCCGTCTGGACCCTACCCTGTGACCTGTCTTGCATTGGTAGCCTTACCAGGAGCTTACGTTCCCGCCAGCATACTCTCCGGGTCACTGGGGCACGCGAACTTCCTCTCTGTAGTAAGGAGGCAGTCATTTATGTTTCTACACAGGCCATGGGGAGGCTCCTCATTGTACCCCTTTACAGTCAGACTGCTATTTTTGTCCTTCTTGATACGTGAATTTTAAGTTTGGTTTCCATACAGACACAAATGGTCTTGGACCCCCTTCCCCACACACACACACACACACACACAATAGTAGGACAAAGCTCTAACAGAACCAGTCGTCAAATACATTACGAAACAAACGAGATAAATATCTCAACCCCGACATGGGAATGGCTGTTTGGGGGGGGGGGTGCTAGGCCCCAATGCGTTTGGCAATACTCCAAATCACTTTATGGTTCTGTCACTTGTTTTTAAATTTCATTTGACTTCCCCCTTCCCTTCTGCAAGCGGATCAAAGTGACGCGTCATGTTTTTATTTCGTTATAAAACCCAGCCCGTGGCTCTTCTAACATTTGAATTTCCACTGCTGCATATGACCGGAAAACAGACTGCTTGAAAATAAATGCTTATTTTATGTAGCTGTGTAAGTACAGACGGGAGGTTGGAGAAAACTGCATGAGGAGCTTCATAACTTGTTCTCTTCTCCAAGTATAATTAGAAGGATCAAGTCAAGGAGGATGAGGTGGGCAGGGCATGTAGCACGAATGGGGGAGACGAGGAATGCATATAGGATATTGCTGGGAAAACCAGAAGGAAAGAGACCACTGGGAAGACCAAGGCGTAGGTGGGTGGACAATATTAAAATGGATCTTAGAGAGATAGGATGCGATGGTATGGACTGAATTGATCTGGCTCAAGATAGGGACCAGTGGAGGGCTCTTGTGAACACGGTAATGAAACTTCGAGTTCCATAAAATGCTGGGAAATTCTTGAGTAGCTGCAGATTTGGTTTCTCCTCAAGAAGGGCTCAGCTCCGCAAGTAAGCAAGCTGTGTAAGTACAGATTGCGTTGCTACATTATTCTCTGTACTACAGACAAGTTCATCAAAGCTGCATACATTTCAAAGTCGCCATAGAAACATTTCTGGGCTTCACATTACACAAATGCATATACCATTCCATTCAAAAAACCTGATCGGAAGAGGCCACTGGGGAGGTCTGGGCGTAGAGGGCACGAAGATATTAAGATGGATACTAGTAGAACAGGGCGTGAGGGTGCGATTGGATTTATGTGGCTCAGAACTGGGACTGGTGCCACGATCTTTCAAACGCAGCTATGAAACTTCGGGTTAAGTATAAGGCAGGGAATTTCTTGACGAGGTGAGCCACTATCAGCTTCTCACAGACTCTGCTATATTTAATTACATTAAATGACACGGACGTTGGATCACAAATAAAGGGGCTGTAATAATGGCTGGGGGCGGGGAATGCAGGCGTAGGGGGTGGCCTCCAGTGACGTAACATCTGCAGCCATTTTGGAACAGGTCTGAAGTCTGAAATGGAGGAAACACGCGCACACACTCACACAAAGTGCGGTGATCGCAAATAGGTTAACAAGAAGAAATTAAAAAGATTCAGGATCTGTAGCTCAAGTCGCCGTTACGCTCCAGGCGTCAAGGGGCCGTCCGTTCTTCGTTAAGTTCCGCGCGCCTGCTCCAAACTGCAAAAAGGCCCTGATACACGCGGCTGCTTCGTTTAAAGGAGCCGCTCCGAATAGCAACAGAGCTCTTAAGCAAACTGGGCATGACCAGTAATGGGGGCTTTGCACAAAAGCTTCGAAAGCAAGGCGCCCCATAAAGAAAACACTTGTTCACAACATTAACCATTTAATGCAAAATGCTTACGCTCTCTGTACCGTGTACTTTAACATTCATATAATGAGCATTCTGTATGTGATCTTACAGCGCTGCCACGCTTACTCGAGGGACTGTCCCTGCATCTGCCTGGACGGACTGGGGAAAACCATGAAAACATCAGTAGGGATGGTCCGGTGCCTCAAAAAGGGTTCGTACCAAGGAGCTCCAAAACATGAGTCTAGAGCAGGCCTGTCAAACTCAACTTGTATGGAGGGTCACCTCAGCCCTCTAAATAATAGTCCAGGGCCGCACTTCAAAATAGAAATATACATTAGATTTTGATACAAGAAAATTTAATTTTATTTATCATTTATGAATAATTTCAATATAATTACCTAAAGTCACACATCTTACAGTTTTAAAAAGCAAGAGAATGCCATTTTTGACAAGTATCAAACAGCTTTCCTATGTCAAAAGAGAGATTACCCAAGAAATTATGTTAGAAATAGCAAAACACTGAATTTCCTGCAGCCTGCTAATTTATGTCTGCGTGAGACTTCTTGTCTGTTGGAAAATTGTCTTTACAAAAAATATTTCTACTAAAATTTTAATATTGATTTTAATATCAATTAGCTCTAAAAGGGGCCGCACTTTGTGGTTATGGGGGCCGCATGTTTGACACGGCTGGTCTAGAGGATTACCGCTAAGCCAGCCCGCTCGGTTTCAATGCTTTGCCAATTGTTATATATGTATACATATGTATATGCAGGATGTCCAAGGAGGAAAGGTCAATATTCTGGGAAGTCATAGTATCGGTCATTCTAAGCAGTAAAGTGTCTGTACATGTGTCCTATTCCGAACGGTTTCCGAGATAGAGCTATTTCACTGTAAAGTAAGTAAGTAAAGCTATCCCTGTAACAGACCGTCGTGGCGCATAGGGTTGTGAAACGTCGAGGATTCCACATTTTCTAGACAATCGGCTCACAGATGGCGGTAAGGCTGTCAGCCTTACGCACCGGCCGCCCTTTACCCCCAAGAAGATTCCTGGTATTCATTTCTGTTAGAGGTTGAGTCGACCCCAGAGCCACAGTGCGGCTGGAAGGACTAGGTAAATTTAAAAGAAAAAATCCCATGACCTCATCGGGATTCGATTCCGCGACCTTCCGGCTTGTAGCATAGTGCTTCAACCAACTAAGCTTCCAACACGAGTCTAGAGGATTACCGCTAAGCCAAACCGCTCGGTTTCAGTGTTTTGCCAATTGTTATGTATGTATATATATGCAGGGTGTCCCAGGAGGAAAGGTCAATATTCTTGGAAGTCACAGTATCGGTCATTCTAAGCAGAAATGTGTACATGTACATGTGACCTATTCCGAACGGTTTCCGAGATAGAGCTGTTTCACTGTACAGTTACAAAACTGTTGATAAGACAGAGACATTACGTAGTGCTTCTGATAACGGTATTTATTGTTCAAGTGACAAAGTTGGTACAGTTTACCTAGTATAATGCATTTTTTAAAATTCCACCGTCAACATCAGTGCACTTTGCCACTTGTGTGAGGCCATGGCGTGTTGCTACTGCCACTTTACAGTGAAACAGCTCTATCTCGGAAACCGTTTGGACACATATAAACTATGACCTCCGAGACTACTGACATTTCCTCCTTGGACACCCTGTATATGTATAGGGGCGTTAGAAACTAGTTTTATACAGACTTGTCCTCTGTGTCGTGATATCAACATTGCAGAGGTATATGCTGCCTCTCTTCTCAGGGTCGAGGTGTATGTGTGGGGAGTGAGGTTAGAATTTGTCTAGGTTTTATGGGTCCTGGCTGGGACAAGAAATTTTTCTCCACTGGGGTCCATCCAGCCTCCTATACAATGTATATCGGGGTCTCTTTACCCAGAGGTAAAGGGGCCGGGGCGTGAAGCTGACCACTGACTTCCATCCAGTGCCGAAGTCAAGAATGACGAAGCTATACTCGTATGTCCACTGTCCCATATGTCTTCAGGAAGATGGTCACTCAGACTTTGCGGGGGGGGGGGGGTCAGGATCTAAAACCCGATCCCAGGCAATGGGACTAACATGTACGAAAATGGAAAACAAAACTACACGGTGTCATAATCCAGAAGAGCAAAATCTGAACTATAATTGCTGCAAAATCCTGAAAACTACAACTTCACTCTGGGCTACAAAATACGAGTCAGGACGGCCCCTCAAGTAACTAGCTGATCCCCAGCATAGGGTGTTACTCCAAAATCAACGGGTATTCAACTACGCAGGAAATACTACATGAGGCCCTCATCTTTCAACCCGGTTCCACTCAATTAGTGAAGCTAAACAAGAGTGTGTGCGGAGGGGGGGGGATGAGATTCTCACAGCTGTGACGATGAAGATTCCTGTCCTCTGGGATGTGACATCATGTAGTCTTGCAGACATTTACCCACGTTTCAAATAATGCCGGAAATTTTTCTACCGCGTCATATTTCCTTAAGAAGAAATTACATCAACAAGGTTTTACTTCCTTTCATTACTATTGCTAGTTACAGCAAGGATTGTGCATTTTGACTAGTCAGGAGGATGAAACTCAAACGGAAACGAGGGTCAATATTAAAACGGATCTGAATGAGATTAGTTTGGAGTATGTGGCAAGCTTTTGTGTCAACACTCTTTAAATTGGGTTTAAATATACGACAGTCGCCATGCTAAAAGAACTTGAAGTATCAGATATATAGTCACTTGAACTGGAAATGTGCCTCTTCTTTGCAAAATTATAATAAAAGTTCTTTGTTTACATCGTTCTGACAGACCAAATACATCAGAATCGAAAGCTGCTTAAGATAATCAGCGTCGGAATTAGTATTCTTTATATCAGGACATATTAACTGCCGCTTGGTGACATTCTGTCAAATGCAGTAAAACATAATTTTGTTTACTAATATCACATTCTCATTGCAGTTCTAACTCACGTGAGGGCAAACGAACAACGAAGTACATACCGCCAAACTCCACGCTCTGCATTGTACACAATTCACAAATGCAATTAAAGTATCATAATACACATAAAATATAAAACATCTTCCGGTAATTAGTTCTACTTACTTTCATATCACTGATGATTTGTTGGAATAGTCCTCCAAGAGCACTGCACTCTCTTTCAACATTTCCTTCCATATTGATTTACTGAATTTGGTACACTCCTAAGACAAGATAAGAATTACTCGTATCCTTTCCAAGCAAGGGTGTTTAATAAGAACTCCTTCACAGAATTCATGACCGAAGCACAACAAACATGGAAACACGGTGCACTTATTACCATAGTGGGGTGTTGGCTCCCCTCGCGTCTGGTTCACAAAAGTTTAAACACGTTGTTTTGTTTTCATACTCAGGCCAATAGCACTATGACTTCATTCATCCCACTCAAAATTATGAAACACTTAAGTCACTGTAGGCCAACATACAACACAAATGTAAAATACAATGCCGCAGGAACAAGACTACCCTCAGTCCCAGAAACAGGATTACTTAACTGCAATGATTAGGCTGTTCGCTTGAGTGAAATAAACGTTTTCAATTCTGTCTTTCTCATATTAATAACACCACCATGGGTCCTTCTCCTTTCGTACCAAGACGATCACAAACAATCCTCTCTCCGCTAACTACCCTCACCCTAGCTTTCTCTCCAATCATTATTTCCACAGATTATTTCTACCAGCAAGATGGGTTAAAAACTGGATTGCTTGCTGTTTGGCCAATGTACCGCAGATCATTCTTACTACTCCCATCTGCAGGATACTTGTTTCCCTCTAATCCAAGCCCATTGCAGAATCCTGCCATCTAACTGACAACATTGAAATTACGTCCATCACGCCAAGAGCCACATGGAATCACAGACGCTGCTACGCTGCATGCGTAAGCGTTAATTTTTTCTTATTGCTAGTGGGTTGGGACTAAGTCTCTTGTACCGCGGCCACTTCTGGCCTCTTGTAACAACTCCGGATGATAGGTGAGGGTGATTGTGGAGCAATTAATTAGGTTGCTTTCTAAACATAATAAATCCATCAATATTTCTTAGATATTCGAGTCTGTCGATACTTTTCATTCGATTGTGCCAATCAGTAGGGCCAACTAAACCGAACAGCCAACAGCTGAGAAGATGTAGTGTATTTATGTATGTGTCTGTGTAATGCGTTTAACGTAATCGGTAGAGTATTATTTTCTGGGCTCTTACGCCCATATAGTCTGGTACAAGTTTCGGAAGAACGTATTGCTTCCATCATCAGGCTCGAAGATTAAATCTAGCAAGCAGCCGCCAAGAATAAAACAGCAACCTTTATTAGGCCGTACTGTCATCGAACGCATCAAATCAGTGGTTATTATCTTCACTTATGTGACATTATATAGTTTTGCACAACATTTCGAACCAGAAAATTTCATATTAGTAAGGCAAAGTTAGTACAATTGGAGGAAAAGCTTGTTAATGGAAGCAAACAGAATGACGTGTAGAAGTCTGATTAGGCCATGATCACTGCGCGTTTCTTGTAATACCCCAACCCTCTTACTGTAGTGTATGCGATAGGCGAAGGATGACGGGTGTAGTTAATGGCTGAATAGATAAAGGAAGACGTTCATGTTGGAGTTTCACCAACTTTACCAGCAGAAATATCGGATTCTTACTGATATTGTTTGAGATTTTACCTTGGCCTACGTAACAGACTGTTACACGCCGCATGCATTATAATTTTTGAAATCAATATGTCTTTTCTGAGGGGATCGGCCAACTATGTGTGGTGTACCACAAGTGTTTTGGGAAAAGGTGCCACAGGCGCCGTTTTTCAAGGTGTGAATAAAAACAACGGTGAACCAGTTGCAGTCAAGACATTTAATCAGTTGAGTCATATGAGACCCCATGATGTCCAAGTGCGCGAGTTCGAAGTACTAAAAAGGGTTAAACATGAAAACATTGTTAAACTTCTTGCCATTGAGGAGGAACAGGAAAGCAGGGGCAAAGTAATAGTGATGGAGCTGTGCACAGGTGGCAGTCTGTTTAATATTTTGGATGATCCAGAAAATACGTACGGTTTACAAGAAGAGGAGTTCCTGCTTGTTTTAGAACATCTGTCTGCTGGAATGAAACATCTGCGAGATAACAGACTTGTACATCGAGACCTGAAGCCTGGTAACATAATGAAGTTTATTACTGATGATGGAAGCACTGTATATAAGTTGACTGACTTTGGAGCTGCCAGAGAACTGGAGGAAGATCAGCAGTTCATGTCACTGTATGGAACGGAAGAATATCTCCATCCAGACATGTATGAACGGGCAGTTCTTCGCAAACCCGTAGGCAAGACATTTGGAGCAACAGTTGATTTGTGGTCAATAGGTGTTACTCTGTACCATGTTGCTACAGGTAACTTACCATTTCGACCTTTTGGTGGTAGGCGTAACAAGGAAACAATGTATTATATCACAACGAAGAAGGCATCTGGAGTAATTTCTGGTTCGCAGACAAGTGAGAATGGGCAAATAGAATGGTCCAAGGACTTGCCACACAATTGTCAATTGAGTGCAGGATTGAAGAAGCTGGTTACGCCTCTTCTGGCAGGTCTCCTGGAAGTGGACTCTCAGAGAATTTGGAATTTTGAAAGGTTCTTCAAGGAAGTTACATATATACTATCCTGCAAACTAATTCACATATTTTATATGAATAAAGTACAAAGTATTAGGGTGTACCTCCCTCCTGATCGAACACCGGGAGAACCCCTCCCTGCTGAGCGGATGTGTGCGGAGCTGCTCTCTCCAGAGAGGACATATGGGAGGTTGCAGAGTTTGGTGCAGGAGCAGACTGATGTTGCTCCAACCAATCAGATTCTTCTTTACCGGGACTCAGTGTTGTTGTCGCTTATTGAAGACTTGCCTGCTGGTCATTCATACCCCGTGACACATGAAGATAAACCCCTGATGCTGTTGAGTAAGGAGAATAACAATGTTACATTGGCTTCAGAAGGAGACATACCCAAGTTTCCCAGTTTTCCAACACTTGTGTCAGTGGAGACTGATGCGAGCCTTGCCAAGACATGCTGTAGTGTGGGGCATGCCTGCAAGAGACGTGTAGAGAAGCTCTCACAAGGCAGTCTCCTTATTCACACCTGTGTGGAGCAGTTCACTGCAGTGGTCACTAAAGAACTCAAGGATGTGGAGGCCAAAAGCAGGAAACTGTGTTACTTGACCCAGCATGTAGAGGAGTCTGTCGAGGCAGTGACACGTGCACATAATATGATACAGGGCCTGTTGAAGTTACTGGGTAATGTTGACAGTGACAGCCAAGGTGACTTAACTGCTCCAAGCCGTGAACTGGTCAATGAACTTTCACCTGCCATCCAGCAGCTTCACCAGCGATATGTTACTGAACGTGCCCTGCGTAACGAGTGGTTTGATACTACTCGTGACTTGTCCTGCCCTGCAAAATCCTGTGCTGCTGCCAGAGCCCGCACGATGGTGGATCGTTTGCGTGATTCGTGGCAACACCTGTTGCGTGACCGAGCTACCCGGAGCCTTACCTATAATGATGAACAGTTTCATGTATTGGAGAGGATCAAGGTTGGCGAGACTGGACGGCGTTTGCGTTTACTTCTTGACACAGAATGCCAGCCTGCCGTTGCCCAGCTGGCTGATGCCCTAGCAGATTGGTATAAGATGGCACAGACAGTCTATCTTCAGGTACGCATACTCGAGAAGGACTTGGATGCCTATGAGAAACGTCTCGAAGTGTTCTCTTCTCGCCTGGTAGACAGTGACCGTGTCTTCTATCAGAAACTTGGGGCTCGGCAGGAAGCCAGAACAAAGCCTGCCCCTGTGAAACAGATAGACAAGGTGCGTCAGGACGCAAAGGTGATCCACAGTAGCTTCAAGGACATCATGGCAGTGCAGGGTGAGGTGATGTCCATGGTGAAGGAAAACTCGCAGATTCTGATGCAGTTCCAACAGCTTACAGAGAGTCTTGTTCGGGACAGTGGTAACAATGGAGAGGAGACGCAGCGAATCATTTCATAGCATGCTACGCGTTGTGGGTCAGGGTGGTGTGCAAGTCCTGAGGTGGAAGAACAGAAATAGCCGTCTGTATGGCACAAACTTTCACATTTTAGAGAACAGCATTTTGGGATGTGGTGCCATGTAGATATTGTGTTAACTGACGTTTCGGAGGAACGTATCGCCTCCATCTTCAGGGTAGATTTTATTCTTTTTTCTTCTACGCTGAAGATGGAGGCAATACATTCCTCCAAAATGTCGGTTAACGCAATATCTACACGGTGCCACACCCCAGAAGACGCTCTCTTCATAGTCACTGCCGTGAAAACCTCAAATCTTACATTGCACAATTCATATTTCAATCCAGATAAAAGAAATGTGTTTGACAGTTCACAGTACCAAGGGGTGGTCAGATTTTATCTGAGGCCAAGATTATCAACAATATTGTCATGTGAGATGTAATAACGTGTAGTTTGACAGAAATTCCTTGATGTTTTTGAGGAGTGTTAATGAACTACGTAGTTACGTAGTGTTACAACGCAGAAGATTGCACTCTTCATACTCAGTACTGTGACAGCCTCAGATCAGACTTGGATTGTCAAGATCTGGAACCAACAGATGCCTGGCCTCAGGATTGTGTGCAGCACTTAACAGTATTCATATTTGGACATGTGGTCCAGAAGCAGTATTGTAATGTACAGCATAGTTGATACCTGTTAATGTAAGTGTAAAGGTTTGCGACGAAGGTGTATTATTAAACTGACTGATATGTTGGACATTTTGACTTGACTTGTTTCTGGCCAAAGAAGAAAAAAAAGAAAGAAAGAAAGAAAGAAAAAGGATACTGTAACTGCCGCTTCCTTCTCTCAGTTCTGTCCAATGGACCAAACAGAGTATGCTCAGCACTATGTAGTTACTGGTAATGTAATTAATGATCTTCAAAAAGCATGTTGGATGTTCCAGAAGACAGTAGTACCACTATGAGATCCTGGGACTGCGCTGAGTACTTTGGTTTCCCCTGCCAATCTTCATTCCACCAAATTCTCCATCATAATCACCCGGGGCAGGTATAGTAGGCCAATCAGTGGCTGCCGTGCCAAGTGAATCCAGTTGGACTCCACCCCCCAACTAAGTGAAAAAAAATTAGAACCTCAGATCTCAGAAATTTACATTTACTTTGATTAGTTCAAACCGTTGCATTTTTTTTTTTATTAAAAGTGGTTGATCAGTGTGTTGAATCGAGAGATTTGAAACTTCTGTTTTGCTGCACTAGCAGAAGTTCATAGCATGCTAACAGGTAGTGTAAATATCTTTTATAATGTGACATAACCGCTGAGTGAGCAGTTAAAGTACAGACCATCTGCTGAATAAGGCCCATTGAAAGATTTATGTACTCTACAAAAAATATAAGGAATGTTATTGTGTCAGAAAGCTTATAAAAAATTGTAAATAAGTGTTGTAAGTCAGGGTCTGAAGTAATATTTTTGCTACCCGCTGGCTGTACAGGTCTAAAACACAGTTTTGTCACTTTTGTTATCTGATATGTGACTCACTTCCCACATGCCCACTTCATGTGAGTTGTATGCTATATAGCAGTAATCCTCTCAAGTTTAGATGGAGACTTATTCGAAGAAATTAAAATAAAAGATTTTAAGATGAGGGTAGTGCTTGTCTTGCAGCTTGTTTGATATTGATGACATTCTTAGACAGTGGTAAAGCAGGGCTAAGTGCAGAAACAACATTCAAGTAAATTCAGTAATTTATCCAGAGTTATGTAAGGTCATGCATTGTTTCTGCAGATAAAATTATGACATTTTTTTGCAATCAGACATGTTATATTCACTTGGTATTATTTTGGTTACATTAATTTTGAAATGTAATCTGTTGTTTCCAAACTGCTGAGCATGCACATCTTATATGAACCCTCTTTGTATACTTTATATATATTCAGCTCCATGAAGTTACTTCTATATAATGTGATGGAATATGACCTTATGCTAGGCAGTGGCTCGGAAACACTGCCTAATAGCCGGAATAGCAGCAGAAGTGGAAGTCATTTTGCTAGGCAGTTGTGTGCTAGCACCTGTTTCTGCGGCAACAAATATTAGCAAAGACATTCTGTGACAACAAACAACAAGAGGACAATTGTAAGATTTGAGGCTTTCACGGCGGTGACTATGAAGAAAGCAGTCTTCTGGGATTTTGTACCATGTATATGTGGTGTTAACCGATGTTCCTCCGAAACGTCGGTTAACACAACATATACACGGTACCAAATCCCAGAAGACTGCTTTCTTCAAGAGGACAATTGATTGTTCAACTTGGTGACTTATATTTGGGCCATGTGGTGGTTATAAAAGGGAGTTCATCCATGCATTCAAAGCAGTCTGAGATTCTTCATAGAGCATCCATCAGACAGGAGTCGTAATTCATCCGCAAGAGAATTCAGAAGTTCCATGTGTGAGCTGTTATAACTGACGTAATTGTAAAGAAGTGCCAATGAACCCAATCATCAGATCCAGAGCCCATCATTATTAGTTACGCTAACCCCAAATATGTGACACTTCTTTACAATTACAGTCAGTTATAACAGCTCACGCATTGAACACCTGAATTCTCTTGCGAATGAATTATGACTCCTGTCTGTTGAATGCTCTATGAAGAACCTCTGACTGCGTTGAATGCATAAATGAACTCCCTTTTATAACTACCACGTGACCTTAATGTAAGTCACCAAGTTGAACAATTAATTGTCCTCTGTTATTCTGTTGTCACAGGAATGTATTTGCTAATATTCATTGCTGTGGAAACAAGTGTTTTTATGACTTATTCCACATCCTGTGGTCATTTTGACTAACATGGATCCGTGGAATATAATATATCTATATATATACCATTCAAAACCCAGAAAATTCTTAATTTGAAAATTATGCACATTTTAATATTGGTGATTGGTATTAAGGTTTTACTCAAGTCCTAGCAGTTCTGTGCTTCATCTTTTTCGGTGCTGAGGTTATTTTTGACGAAGTCATCCTTTGTATATTCCTCTAATAATGTATAATTTCCACACACAGTATGAGAGCTGTGAATAGGTGGAGGAGAATATTTATATACTTGACACTGCTATATATCAAGCATGTTTAGTAGAATATAATAGATCAAGCTGTAATAAGATATTTTCTTCATAACATGGAAACTGTTAAACTGTTTTTCACCACAGATGGGCGATGAGTTGACTTTGTGTTACACTGTGACAAGTGGAATGACTACTTTCCTTATGACATCTCCTCTTATGTTGCCTGATCTCTGTGTACTAGTCATTGTATGGTATTAGAACTTACATGGTCTAATCCATTGGAACCTTGAAGTACACCATGTTGCTGTTCATGTACATTTAACCTGATGGCATTCTACTTAGATTACCCAGAATTCCTACATGAAATACATTTCAAATTAAATATGTAAATATTTGTCACGCACATAAATTTGTTACATCTTTGTAAATATCTTGTGTATTATTCTCATTTGTTGATGGCCAGTTTTGGTTGCAACAATGGAACCGGCTGTGATTAAGAAAATAAATTGTTTAGTGGTGTCACATTGTTTATTTATTACATCTGTTGTTATATGAGTGAAACCCAACATCTGATGATGTTTCATAGAGGTTAAAGTAGCTAATGTAACCACTGTGCAGATGCCCCAGACCCTGCAGAGTATGCCAAAGGATTAACGCTTGTCCGCGTATCTTAATAATGGCTGACGGCACACCAAGGCAACTGGTAACTGCAATTTCCGAGAACTGTTATCAGCCTGAGTTGAACACATGTTACTGAATGGAGTAGCTCAAATTGAGGAAACGGCAATGCAGTTTCCTGAATTTGCACTGCTCCATTCAGTAACGTGTTCAAATCAGACTGATGATTCTTGGAAATTGCAGCTACCAGTTTCCTTGGTGTGCCCTCACCCTAAGAGTTTTGAGAACATACAGCACTACACACTTTAAGGGAGTGATATATTTAGCCATTTTAAAGGGAAGAGTTTGTCTAAATAATGTTAATTCTGAGAAACAAATGAAACAGATTCCATAAGCAAGGTGCTGAATTACTGAATTATATATATATAGGAATTACAAATTAAACTGGCCCATGTATCATTCTCAGGGTTGTAGTTAAGGCAGGGCTGTCAATGGCAGTACCCCTTTACTTTTTTAAATGACAAGGGCATTGCTCTGACAGTTCTTTTAAAGATGGTCATGTGACACACAGGTAGGTCATGTGACACACAGGTAATGATTGCTAAAAACTAATATGGACAGTTTTCTTGTCTGCTTCATTAACAAAATATTGTGACAAATCTGCTTCTAATATATTCACCTTGAAATTCCACTGTTTTGTGGTAATTTTTATTTTCTGAAACACAAAGACAGTGACTAGGGCTGAATTCTTCACATGGTCACAGATTTCTGTGTTCATCACAACTGTTTCCAGAGAAACAGGTTACATGAAGAATGTATTCATCTGGCTCAGTGCCAGAAAGTTATAAACCCAGTGATGAATATAAATGGGGAATTTCTGGATTTCAAGGCAGGTTTTGTGCCACAGAGTAATTAAGAAATAATATTTTTAATACATTTATTTATTCATAATTCACCCACACAAGTTTTCAGTCTGTATCAAATCGGTAGCCTCATTTATAAACATGTCCCCTCCATAATCTGTAATACCATTATCTGTATTGCACAGGTAGATAATCAGCCTTATCATATGAATATTTATACATCTTATAATTGACCCAAGTTGGGGCCACAGCATGTAACATCACACTAGTGAATAATTCAAGCTATAAATAACCTAAGCTTCTGTTTCCATACTTGGTATTTTTCTGGCACATTTAACAGTGTTTTGAATTGTTAATATTGTATAGTACTGAATGCTAGAATGATTAGCAAATAATTAATTAGAAAGGATGACTAATTTGAGATATTACTGGCACTTGCATGGTGGGATTATGGAAAACTGAGAAACCTGTTAAGACATATGATCTCTGGGATTTGATTGAGGGTCCTCCTGAATATGAAGCAGGAATGTTGTGTCTCAAGTACGGAAGTTAATTAACTTCATTAATTTGCTCTGTGCTGAGTTTAACTCTGAAAACAAATGCCTTTTTGAAGATTACCACCATCTTTGATGTGACACT